TGGTTATCGAGCACAGAGAAAATTACGAAGCTGCCAGTAAGCAGTAGTTGTCTTGAGACTTTACTCTCACATGCATATCCAGTGTTGGTTCGTATCGGGTGGATTCTTTTTTCTTATTATTTGATTGTAAATCTGCTACATTTCTAGTATTTTCCGAAGGCGCCCGCTTGTTTTACCGCTCGGCCAGACAGGTTCTCTCACTATAATTTCCCGCTCGGGATAGGACACCAGATATGCAGGTTACTAAAAATAATTTCTAAATTTGATAATTCAAATTTCAAGCGCAAAGCGAAACCTTTCAGATTTACTCATATATTAGGCTCCATGTACCCTTCTTCTAGATCATTGTAAAATTAAATACTGAACAAATACATATGACTAATGCTATCGATACTACATTATTGTTCAATGCACTTATAACAACAATAAACTGCCATAACATAAACGACGGCTGTCATAGGCAACCTCTGATCCTATATTATTGTTAATTTTAAGCGGAAAGTAAGTTTTTAACCCTGCGACTCCAATACCAGGAATATCTCATTAAAAATCCCCTCCTGGACGTAACACACAGTTGGGTATCAACATTCAAAAAGTTCCACCGAATTGTTTCGAGAAAAATTACGAAATTTGTAACTAGAAGAACAATAGAAGATTCCGTTGAGTTGCAAAATACAGCTAATGATTTTCTGAAAACAGTGAAATCACTTATCGAACAGTTCGGATCTGAAAATGTTTTTAATTTTGATCAAAGTGATTTCCAATTGGAAATTTATTCTGGAAGGTCATTGTCTAATGAAGGAGTGAAGTAGAGTGTGTTGTGCAATCTATATCATTAACAACACACTCATACACCATACAACCAATAATATCGTGTAATGGAAATTTGCTGTCACCTTTATTTATTGTATTGAAAGAAACTAATGGTATATTTGGACCAAAAGTACAAGAAACCTTATTTACACCAATAAATGCTATTGTAAAAGCATCGAAATCTGGTAACTCGACTTCAGGTAATTAAATAAATTTTCTTTTACAATATATTTTCAGATACTGTTTTACTACTAAAAAGTAAATATAAATTTGCATAAACAAAATAATATAATAAAATTATAAGTCTTATTTCTGTGATATATCTTATATTTTATTTAAGAATCTCATAACACTCATAAAATAGTTATTAATTTAACATTTATATTTCTTACAGACCATTTTAAAATGTGGTTAGAAGAAGCTTATTTTCCAAACATTGGTTCTAATAGCGTTCTAATAAAAATAACACAAGGATTGATATAGTCAATACGATGCAATAATTGCATGGGGTATGGGCATGACTCTCGCACTTGCAGCACCATCAACACTACAGCACAAGTATCGACTGTCCAATGGCAACAAAAAATCTGTAAAAATCCAGAACATGTACTGCAGATTGTAGGTCCTTACCGCCTCGAAATCCGAACCAAAATTCAAATAATCAAAATAATCGACTAATTTTACAGAATGCAACCACTCCTCGCAATATAGGACTTTTTTGCCGATATTGTAAAAATCCAGGACATAGCCTTGAACAGTGTCGAAAGAAACAATACAATAACTGGAATCAGGGAGACTAGCGTCACATCTAGGATTCCTTTACCACGAATCATTGAACGTGATAGCGAGAACGAAATTTAGTTCAATAAAAGACTGATCCAACCCATTATTAATTAAAGTACATGAGAGGCTTAAATATTTAGTTACTTTAACTGTGCATAAATTTTGGAACAAACATTTTTCACAAAATACAATTTAATTGTTTGTTGGAAAATAAGGTCGTTAATATGGCGGATCAACAATTTTAGATTGGTAAAGCATAAACAATATTAACAATGTCAAATCAACGTTTATTTAATTACAATAAACATCTTAACTTTCCAAAACTGCTAAGTAATTTTGACTATAAATAGTGTTGATTGAACTCTAGTTTATCCTCAAAGTAAAACTAACCATGTTTGACAACATCAAACTCACTTGATACAGAACTTATCCCACATGATAAAATGGAAATAGAAGATGAAGACGAGAGTGAAGAGAAGATAGTTATATATCAGAAGAAAGAGAAATTATCGATGGTGACTATAAAAGATGAGCTTGTTGTAGCCCCGAGTGCTACTACAATTTAGTCTTGCATTTCGGCGTAGCAACAGTCTCACGGAAATGCAAGATTATTAGAAAAAAGCAACCTTTGCATTTTGGCACGGCAACGGCCCGCAGAAATGCAAGGTTGTAAGTTCAACGGCACGCGCCGAACGATTCTCGTGACCATATATGGTCACATCGGACATCGTAATAAGACACCGCGATTTCTTTATATTCGGCTGTCTAATCACAAACAGAGAGTTCGAATTCGTTCCGATAACGAGACATTACGCGCGCCGCAAACGCCGGAATATCGTCCGGTCCGACCATTATCGCAAGCGCGAACGCAACGATTAAGAGTAAGCTACATTGTAAAAGGGAGTCCTTTCAAATAAAATAGTAAAGTGAGTGTTATCTCGCCAACCCTCGTGCATCATCCTTAGCGCTCCTCGTGGATCCCAACCCTTCAGGCGGACCAAATCCCCAAAATTACATCTTGTTGCACCGAAAGGTACAACAAGCTATTGAATTTTAGAAAAGTGCAAAAAGAGATGACATTCCTTTTCAACGGTAAAACATTGTTTTAAAAAGGCCGTAAAAATTAAACTCGTATTAATAATGGATAAATTATCGACGAAATTAAATTCATATTAATTGAATACATTGAATTTATAATGATAAAAATAATATTAAATTCGTACAGATTCGTTGTGTATGGATTTAGGTTTATATGTGGCGAGTTGAGTGCGAATTATTGTTAATTGCGTACTTGAGATTTTGAACCTTGAGAGATTATAGTTAATTGATCTTGGTTTGTGTTAAGAGACTGGTTATTGTTAGTCAGTGTCTTTGTTTTGTTTTTGTTATAGTTAACAAAAATGAGGCGTAAAATTGCTCCTGGGTGTTGTTATTTGCGATTATTTATCGCTTATAATAGGGCTATATGGGAGAGGAGGTTTTTAATTTAGATTATATAGTTAGTAAGTTTGGTAAGTATCCGAGTGTTCGTTTAGTTATAGGTTATTTGTACTCGCATTGTGTTCGTGATTTTTATATTCCTTTTATTAAGTTAGTTTCTTTTAATCTTTATCATGTAGATATTAGAGAGGAAGTGGTGAAGTTTAGTGATGTAGTTTTTAGTGTTTAGTAATGCTTTGATAGGAGGAAATTATGATGATGATTCGATTATGAGAGTTAATAGAAGTGTTGAGACTTTTGCAAGGTTGTGTGAATTGGGAGGTTTGAATTTGGAGGCTACTTTGGCTGATGCTTCGGTTAGAGTTTTGAAGGATATGATGAAGGAACCAACATCGGAGATGCAGCATTTGTTTAAACCTTTGACGGATATTTCGAAGAAGTCTTCCTTTTTGGTTGATTACGCAATGTCTGCGCAGAATATTGCGTTGTTGCAAAAGTCGTTCCCTGAACTGAACGTTGTTGTGAGTGGGAAAATTTGTCATCCGCATGCTATGGCTGCGAACAAAAGCAATACCAGGGAGACTCCCAGAAAAGAAGTCGAAAAAGAAAGGAAGAGAATACTAACTGCGGAAGAGGAAACGGACCGGGAGGAGAAAGAACCTCCATGGAGCAAGGTTTTGGGAAGAAAGGAGAAAAAGGCTACAAAAACGGGCAAAAATGGAGTCAAAAATTCCACCATGACTTCAACTCCGGCGAAACCTACCAAGCCAGCTCGTACGGAGGGAAATAAGAATAGAAGAGCTCCCAAAACAGCCGCAATCCAAATCAGCTGTCGTGGAGAAGCTACCTACGCAGACGTAATGCGGGTAGCCAAGGAAAAGGTGAACATAGATGCTATGGGAATCCATGAGGTAAGGCCCAGAAAATCTAGGTCCGGGGCATTGCTTCTAGAAATTCCAGGAGCAGGAGGCAGCAAAGCGGACAAACTCGCGAGAGGCTAAAGAGAGGCTAAAAACAGCGTTAGAGGGCCAGGAAGACGTATTAATAACAAGACCGGAAAAAACGGCAGAGTTCAGGATAAAGGATTTAGAAGAATCCACAACGAAGGAAGACGTTCTTCTAACTCTCACTCTGTTAGGGAGCTGCACTGAAAAGGTTTTTAAAATGGGGGAGATTATCCCGTCATTCAATGGCTTCGGAACTCTATGGGTTCGTTGCCCAGTGGCGATCGCAAAAAATATCACCAAGAACAGAAGAATTAGAATTGGCTGGACCACCGTGAGGGTAGAGCTACTTCCCGAAAGGGTTATGCTATGCTACAAGTGTCTGGAACCCGGGCATATTAAAAAGCATTGCTGCAACGAGGTAGATAGAAACACTTTATGCTACAGGTGCGGCCTTCCCGGCCACATGGCAAAAGGATACACGAAGCAAACATTCTGCCCAATCTGCGCAGCCAAGAATATAAAAGCTACACACAGAATGGGCGGACCAGCCTGCAAACCCCCGATTTCCAAAGGAAAGACTAAAAAGGAGGACAGAATTAGTAAAAAGGATTCTCCTCAAGGACAGAATAAAAACAGGGAGAATATGAAAATGGACGTAGAGGAAAAACCTCAGAAACTCCCTCAAACAGAGGAGAGAAAAGAGAGAAGCTAGCGTCATCAGACAACTAGCTAAATGTAGCGTCAAAGAAGGAAGCAAATCCGAAGACACTCGAGTCTTAGAGGAAATGGAAATCGAGGAGAATAGGATGGAAAGTTCGCTCGGCAACCAACCATCACAAGCACAGTCGGAATGGCCAGAGCTGGGTCACGAATGGACCAAGACCACTCAGGACGTACCGGGAAATGTAGACAAAGGAGAAGGAGGATTCCAACATACTGACAATAATAATGTATAATAAGATCCTTCAAGCAAACATAAATCACTCCAGGGATGGACACGAGTTATTATTACAAACTATGGCAGAAGGAGAATTTGCGGTAGCGGTGATATCGGAACCATACAAGATACCGTTAAATCACCCTCACTGGACCGGAAACGCCGATAAATCGGTCGCAATAACATGGAGGCGTACATACATTCCAATGCCATGTACACCGCTTAAAAGTGGCAAACACTATGCCTCGATAAGATGGGGCGATATGATCCTGATTGGTACATATCTTCCCCCTAGCCTGGATGTGAGACAATTTGAGGAAGCGCTCGAAGAAATGGAGGAAGAGATCTTACAAATGGATAACTCTCCGTTATACGTTATGGGAGACTTCAACTCCAAAGCTGCTCTGTGGCAATCAAAGACCACAGACGTACGCGGCAAGATTGTTGTAGAATGGGCAAGCCGTCTAGGGATATGCTGCCTCAACCATGGAGGAAGAAGCACGTGCGTTAGACATACAGGGGAATCAATAGTCGAGCTTTCACTTGCTTCTCCAGTAGCAGCCAGAAGAGTCGTATCATGGGAAGTCTCAGATCGAGAGAGCAAAACAGATCACAGATACATCGAGATCAAGATCAGTAACACCAGGATGCAAAGAACGAAAGAGCGTCTTCCGCAACCCAAGAGATGGGCAGTCAAACAAATGAACAAAGATATGTTATCAGCAGCTATAATAGCTAGCTGCTGACCTAAACATATCGTGACTGAGGAACTATTAGGAGAGGAGATCGAAGAGACGGCCAAAAGACTCCAAGGCACTATGATAGACGCCTGCAACATATCCATGCCGAAGACTGGAACCAGAATGCGCAAAGCCATGCCATGGTGGTCCGCAGAACTAGATCTACTGAGGGCAGATCTTTCTTCAGCTCGAAGAAGATTAAGAAGATTGAGAAGAAGAAACAACCTGGACGAAGAGGAACTCCAAACGAGAATAGGAGAGTTTAGGCTAGCAAGAGACACCTTCGGTAAGGCAATTAGAAAGGCGAAGGCGAAAGCATGGGAGGAATTTGTCATGACCCTAAACGAAGACCCATGGGGCAGGTTATACAAGGCCGTAATGAACAAATTAAGAAGATGGGCTCCTCCTTTCACCGAATCCCTAAATAGCGGGACTCTGGAACGAGTACTCTCGGGGCTCTTTCCAGGAGAAACAGAGGATAACTGGAGGGAACCAGAGCTGCCTAACGAGGGGGAATTGGCATGGAGAGAAGAACTAATAGTTACCCAAGAGGAGCTTATGCTTGCGGCGAAGAAAATGAGAGAAAAAGACGCGGCCCCAGGGCCAAGCGGAATCCCAGCCAAAGCTTGGGACTCAGCGACAAAGGATATGGCGAGAGAGTTGAAAGAACTCTACTCAGCATGCCTCAAAGCCGGTAGGTTTCCGAAAAAATGGAAAGAGGCTAAATTGGTACTTTTAAGAAAGCATAACAAGCCGGACGACCAGGTAGCCGGGTATCGCCCAATATGCTTACTGGATGATGAGGTGAAGATGCTCGAGAGGATCATATCGGATAGAATAGTCTCCCACCTGGACACCAGAGGGCCGAACTTAACCAAAGACAATTCGGCTTCAGGAGGGGCAGATCTACGACAGACGCAATCTCATTCGCCAGGGCATTCATGGAGAATGCGTTCGAAGAAGGTAGGGTCGTGGTAGGAATATCTCTGGACATAAAAAACGCCTTCAACTCCATGCCTTGGAGCATAATAGAAAAGGCGTTAAATAAGCATAAAGTCCCGTTATACCTAAGAAGGACCATCAGGAACTACTTAAAAGACAGGACGCTCTCGTTCCCCAGAAGTGACGGAACTATGGGCAAAAGAGACGTGCAAAGAGGAGTCCCACAAGGCTCCATCCTGGGGCCATTATTATGGAACATCGGATTTGACGATGTTATGAGGAAAGACGACAATGAAATAGAAGGTTGCATAATATGTTACGCGGATGATACGCTAATCCTAGTATCAGGCGAGGATTGGGACGTCGCTACGATGGAAGCAAACTTCACAGCAGACGCAGTGATCCAAAAGATCGAGGAGATGGGGCTAGAGATAGCCCCCGCCAAGACCGAGATCGTAGGATTCCACTCGAAAGGGAGACCAGCGAGCTCTTCGATAAACATAGCAGGAACCGAGATCTCGATTGGCCAAAGGATGAAGTACCTAGGATTAACACTAGATAGCAAATGGTCCTTTACAGACCATTTCACGGACCTCGCGCCTAGATTGGAGGGATCGGCCCTCACTTTAAGTAGGCTCTTGCCAAATTTAGGGGGACCGAATGACAGGGCTAGGAAATTGTACACAAATGTGGTAAAATCCATAGCTTTATACGGAGCGCCAATATGGGCGTATTCGGTGTGCAGAAATAGAAAGGTCATACAAATTTTAAGAGGGGCCCAACGCCAAATCACGGGCAGATTAATTAGAGCGTACAGAACAACTTCGCACGCGGTTAACTCAGTTTTGACGGGAGTCCCACCATGGGAACTGGAGGCCATTTGTTATGAAGAAATATAAAGGGTTACAATACTGAGAGGAAGAGGATATCCAGTCGACAAGAACGAAGTGGAATCTATCAAGGAATCCTCGAAGAGGAAGATTAAAAACTGGGAAGAATGGCTGAAAGAAGAAACCCAAGTAGAAGACACTATCCTCGGTGCAGTGGGTAGTCAACTGAAGGAGTGGCTGAACGCAGGAGTGGGCCTCTCCTTCCGGACGACGCAGGTCCTCACGGGGCATGGATGCTTCGGGAGGTACCTGTGTCGGATCGGGAGGGAGGCCACAAACGCATGTTGGCATTGTGACGCGCCAAACGATTCGGCAAGACACCCTGGGCTATTGCCCAGCATGGGACTGTGAGCGGGCGGAACTGCGAAGGGTGATAGGCATAGACCTCTCATTGAAGGCGGTCATAAGAGCAATGTGTAGACAGGAAGGGAAACAGGCGTCCTCACATTCTGCGAAGAAGTGATGACGAAGAAAGAAGTTGCGGAGCCAGAGAGAGAGAGGCTCAACACCGCGACTCAGGATAATTGGTGGGAATAGCGTGAAAATGCATCCCTAGCGTATAAGGGGGGATTAGATTAGATCGATAGGGGGGGGGGG